AGATTTGGCCAAAGTCAACCCTGCTATGAAAAACATCCTAAAGGAAGTTCTGTGGACTGAGAACCAACAAGAACAGACAACAATCAGAAGTTGACGTACATGGCAGCATCAACCTGAACTCGTTGACAAATGAAAGAGTCAAGAACAGAATAGAATTATAAGAATAAAAGATCTGGGAGGTCAGTCTATGATCAAAACAATTACAATGTGAAAGAAGGTAAACACAGAGGAACAGAGATCCAGGTGGGAGAAGTTCAGGTAGATTACAGGATAAAATAGATTCTTAAATGGAGGGAAGAGTAATGGAATATAAGGTAACCACACGGTGGGGTTGGGGTGGGGGTTTAATTCAGGTGTTGGGGAGAACAATACAAAAAGGGGAAGGAGGCAGAAGAACAAGATAGGGGAACACTGAGGCAGGTTTGCATGGCCTAAGTGGGACAGAGGTAAATAGTGATGCATGCTCAACCTTGGAACAACAGGACTCTGTGATACAGAGATCTAGGCATAGTTTGAAGAGAGGAAATAATAGTAAAAAGCTTGACTATCTTATGACTATTGGTTTCCCTTGCCTACTATTGTAAAATAGACACTTGAGTGGGATAGAAAGGAATGTTGGGAAACATGATTACAGAAAACTTGTAAGCCTGTCTTCAGCCTATTGGAATACCTAAAAGGGGTCCTAGAACTTGCTTAGTGAAATAGGCCTCTTGAGGAGTCTTTGCAAAGTATAGGACCTTAGGTGGAATCCTGAGTCCCATCTAGAACTTTGTGAGGTGGGACAGTCCCACTAGAAAGGACAAACACACCAGCCTGGAACAGCTAGAGTGACAGAAGATACATCTTCAAAGAAAGATCAGCAGGAAAACCCAAAACAAAAATATCAGCATGCCTGGCTACTACAAGGACAAGCAAGGTGTTCTCCAGGAAGCCATCAAGGCAAGCAATCAAGTTCCTTCGGGACAAACTCTCCTCTAAGACTGAAACACAAAGGGAACACATGAACAGGCATGTAAGCTTTCTGGCAAGCACATTGGTCTGCTGGTGAGTGGAAAAGTGGGAAAGGCAGCAATGAAGAAATGGGCTTAATTCAACCATGTTCCATAGACTTCTGTTGACCTGGAGATGAGAGAGCGAGAAGAGGAAGGGCTGGTTGGTCCAAAGTGTGGTGAGACCTGGGGACACCTAAGCCCATTGGCAAGGACATAGCCACAGAGGACTAGAGCAGAGAGTGAAGCATCCAGCTGATATGAAGTGAAAGGAATCACAAAAGGAATAACTTATGTGTGATTGTAATTTTAAAGCAGGAAGAGACAATACCACAGAGAAAACTGTCCAGGAATTGTTGGAAGAAAACGTTTCTAACATTATGGAAGATGAAAAGATAGACATTCAAAAAGTTAAATGAACTCCAGACAGGATAGACCCCAAAAGAAAATCACCAAGACATATATAATAAAACTTTTTAAAACCAAAGACAAGGAAAACATCCTGAGAGTAGTTTGGGAAAACTGAAAAGTTACCTACAAAGTAGAACAAATAAGGCTAAGTTCTGATTTCTCAGCAGAAACCGTGCACACAGAAGAGAATGCGATGGCATGCATAAAACTCTGCAAGAAAAAAACAAAACAAAACTGCCAACCAAGAATCATGTACCCTGAAAAGTTGTCTCTCAAATATGAATACAATATTAGGGCCTATCCAGATAAAAAGAAATTGAGAGAATTTGCAAAAACCAGGTTAATCTTACAAAAATTACTAAAGGAAATTCTTTAAGTAAAACAAACCTAGAAGACTGAAAATAGGGTACCAGAGATACCAGTTTCCAACAGCAAAATATAAAGTAAAAAAGTGGAATATAGTGACAGAACATCCAAATGAAGGGGAAATCCAGTAGTAGTAGCCTTACTCCTAGTCCTAGCCCATCTCCTACCCCTAACATTAACCTTAGGCCTAACCATAACACTAACACTAAATGAAGTCCTAGGCCTTGCCTAGACCTAGCCATAGTCTAACCCTAACCATAGTCCTAACCTTAACTCCTATCAGATCTTCCCCCTCCTCACCCCCCCCGAAAAATCAGCCACTGCAAACTTTAGGGAGCACAGTTCTTCTCTGATGCACACAGGAGTATCATGAGTCAGAATAGATTCCATGGCAACTGGTTTTACGTTTTGAGGGAGGAGGGTGGCTTCCCAAGCTGGTTCAGGGCAGGTTGCCTGACACTCAATACTTCAAAGACCACTTGGTTTGCTCTTGAGTTTGGAAGGTCTTTTGTGAGTCTGCGCCTCGAGAGACTATAGTACAGGGTGTCCTCCTCCCCTTGTGGTATGTCTCTCAGACACCCAACCCCCAGGTCTCATCTGTTTGTCTGTGCTAGGCAGTCCCTTGAGGAGATGATACTAAGTAATTGTGTTTGTCTCCTTTGTTAAACTGGGAAATCTTGAAGGCAGAACCCTCAAGTGTTGAGTCCAGTGGAGGTGCTATGATAAATGTTAACCAAGGAAGGGAAGGGAGGGACTCAGACTTCCATAACCATGGTGGAACCTATAGCTTTGATTTTTTCCACTAGTAGATTAGATATGAAGTCCTGGTGTGGTGCTGTGGGTTAATGCACTGAATTGCAATGTCAGTTTGAACCGCAAGGTTGGCGGTTTAATCTCACCAGCCACTCCTTGGAAACCTTATACAGGCTGCCATGGGTCAGAACCAACTGGACGGCACATAACAACAACAAAGGTTGGATATAGTGAATGTTGTACTGAGCAGCTTGATGCCCTTCACAATAACTCTTTGAATAGAGAAAAGAGTATCCAGTTTTTTCTTAAGAATCTTCATCTACTCCTTCATTCTTCCTTCACTACACAAATAATTGGTAACATCCACTTTTACTGTGTGGCTGAACCCTTAGCTCCAACTCTAACCCTTCCATGTTAAGAGAAAGAGGAGTCCTGAAGATGAAGGTGGGGTTCCTGAGGACTGATTGTGTGCATACAGGCTGCAGGAGATACCTTCTCCCCTTGCAGCTCCTGTGCCACCCACCCAGACCCACTGTGCAGGATCTGAATGGCCTGAGTTTAATAGGATTCTAAGCTTCTGGAGATCTGTGGGTTTCTCCAGGCACCAGAAGGCAGAGCTGGGACACTGATAGGTGTATGGATGGATGGCTGAACCTTCCCCATCCTAGGAGAAAAGACAGAAGTGAGGAAGATATTAATCCCTGTAGGACCTAGCCTAGTATTTAGCCAATTATTTCAGGGTTTTGTGGATCAGTTAATAGTGTTCCTGACTCAGGTCACTCCTAGGCTGCCTGGGCTTTCTTTTTGTGTGTGTTCTGGTTCTTGTGGATCTCCAGCACATGACCTGAACAGGAGCAGTTCCCCTTTGCTTCTTCCTCCTCTTCTAACACTTAACACGCACTACCACCTCCACCTTCTATGAAAGCTGCGAGGTGTTTCATGGTGGCTGGAATTCTAGTCAGACCTGAACAGGATAGGATGGCAGCCCTCACACCTTGAGTCTTAGGTGGGGAGAAAGTCTGGAGTACAGTTCCTGATGAAGATCCTTTCCCAGCTAGGGGCTTCCAAGACTTTGCTAAGATGGCTCCAGAAAGCTGATGATACACCTTCTCCAGGGATCTCCCTGTAGCTAAATCCAGCTTTGCATTCGATATAGAGAGCGTTCCTGGAAACACATATATCCAGGCACACATGGCAAGACCTTGTTAGCAGCTGTGGCAAAGGAGGGAAGCGTATGTGTATGATGAGATGATGACAGGGAATGTTGCACAGTGGCCTACTTCACATGAACAAGGAGCAGAGCAGATCCCTGGCATAGGAAGAGGAAACAGTCACCTGTGAAGGACATGGTTGTAATAAAACAGCAACTATAGGAGTCCCGGTGTGGTGCTGTAGGATAAGTGCTGAAATGCTAACCACAAGCTTGGCGGTTCAATCCACCAGCTGTTCCTCAGAAACCCTATGCACTTAACAAAACAAAACAAAAGCACAAGAGGCTCAGTACTGCAAGGGAAACAGCATAGAAAGAAGAGCCTGCATTCTAATCCTAGATCTTTCACGGCGTGGCTGTGTGATTTTAAGCAAGCACTTGACCTCTTTGATCCTTAAGATCCTCCTCTGAAAAATCAGAATAGTAAGTTTAAGGAGCTCTGGTAGCGTAGTGGTTACGAATCAGGCTGTTAACCTCAAGGTCGGCAGTTTGAAACTACCAGGCATTCCGCAGGAGAAAGATGAGGCTTTCTGGTCCCATAAAAATTTACAGCCTTGGAAACCCTGTACAGGGTCACTATGAGTCAGAATGACTCCATGGTACTTAACAACAACAACAACAACAACAATGGAAACTTTGCCTCATCTTCCACCTAGGATGTGATCATGAGACAGGGGCCTTAGACACTGTCTAACCAACTATCCCATTAGAAGACAGAGCTGAGGCCCAGAACAAATGTCTAGCTCTAAACAGTGCTTAAAGATTCTTAGAGAAGGAAGAGTTTTCCAGGGGATATGAGCTTCTGTATCTTTAGCAAATGGCCACCCATGCACAGTATGCTGTACACGGTTAATCCCAGTCTGAAAATCTCAATAAGGAAAGAGAATCCCAGGCCCCATTTAGCAACAGAACTACCATGTCATCTGGAAGTTCTTCCTGATGTCACTCCTCCCTCTAACCTGTTAAACCCACTTTTGGTGGCTCTTTATTCAGAGGAGTTCAGGCTTGATCAAGTGGTTTTGGAATGCCCACCAGAGTCCTGCACTTGCAGAGATGTATAGCATTCCTTCATGACTCAGGGAAAATCCATTTGATTTAGCTGGTCAGTTGGCAGGAGAAGATTTTGAAATATAGACATGAAGAGTATTACTTTGTTTCTTTAATTTCTAGAAACCTCTGCTCTACTGTATGCTGAGCACACAATACTTTTAGAATTATTGATGGCTCTTCCTCAAGCAGAGTTCACTTTTAAAGACAGCAACAGGAGCTTTCTATTTCTTCTTGGCTTTTGCTTTCTTTTCTTTGCTTGCCTTGTGTGACTTAATAGATTCAACTTGGCCTGACTGGCCAGTGACTGAGGGAGGGAACGTGATGGGAGCATTGAGATTTAAAGTCTTCTTTTGAAGTTTTAAGTCCAAAATATCAAATGTTATCTGTATCTCATACTGCAGCATCTCCTTCAGGCATTCCATCTGTATGTGAATGGCCTCATGGATGAGGTTTTCTAACTCCTGAAAGAAATGGAACATTGCTGGTGAACAGACTTTAGGGGAATACAGATACAGTCTCTTAATCTGGGTCCAATTTTTAATGTAGCCATATCCTTCATTCAGATCTACTCTCCACCTTCTCCACCCTACTTTTGAGAGGCTGACTTATAAGGGCTACATCAACAGTCACTTTGACCTCTGGCTTTTGGTTGCATTCATTCAATGGGAGGTACTGCCAGGAGACTTGAGGCTTGGAATAAAGAAAATTTGGGGTATTTATTCCCCTAATCACCTTTTGGATTAGACTATGGATTGAATATGGTTCCTTTACCAAAGTCACAATTCTTGTCATGTGGTACTTGCCTATAGTTATAGATCTCTTTCCAGATTGTATTAATTGACTCCTTCTCCTCCCTCTTCAGGTATAGGACAAAAATCATTCTGTTACTATGTATCATTTGTTCCTGATTGTTCTGGATCCATAGGCCAGTCCTATATTCCCTATAGACTCTACTTTCTGCCCAGTGCAAACTCCATGTAGATATTGCTACCCCCTCTTCTGTCTAATCCTCACATCTCAAAGTTCTAGTTGTAGCTTTATCAGAGGGGACAGGAAAATTTGCTTCAGAGAGTGGGTATGTCCTCCAGTCAGTCAGCCATGGAAGAAACTCAGCTACCATCTGCCATGTTCAACATGAGTCCTCTTGACAACTCAATTAGAGGCATGGAATCATAGCATCATGGAAACATAAACCGTGTAACTATGTTTCTCCCTGCATAGGCATTCAAATTTGTTAAGTTGTGAATTGCCGTTGAGTCGATTCTGACCCATACCAACCCTGTATAGGGTTTACGAGGAGCAGCTGGTGAGCTTGAATCACTGACCTTGCAGTTCAAATGGCTTTGCAGTCTGACGCATTAACCCACAGTGCCAGGCATTCAAATAGCAGGGGAGAATTTATACATTTTCTGGGGATCTGGGAACATAAGCTTGGAGTACTCCGTTGTTTATAATACATTTCCTTGAGATTTCATATTTTAACTTGAAATTACATGAAAAAATTGATATTTTCTGCAGACTATCTCTTTTGGTATTTTTATATAGAAATAACCTTCTCTCCCTAAATTCTTGGGGAAAAGTGTGTTCCAAGACGATACCAGTATTAGTTACCATGGAGCTGACGCTGACTCATGGCAATTCCATATGCGTCAGATTAGAACTGTGCTCCATGGGGTTTTCAGTGGCTGATTTTTTTTGGAAGCAGATCACTAGACTGAGTCAATGCTGGGTGATCTCACCTTCTGGGTTAACAGTTGAGTACATTAACTTTTTGTAGCACCCAGGGACCCCTTCCAGAGGAAAGACTAGGCCATTGTTTATCCTATGATTGAAGCTGGCACACATTCCTAGTTTGAGAAGCATGACTGCTTTTGATGTTGTGGATTTCATGCTTCCCTCCCCATCCCATCCCATCCCATCCTAACACACACACATACACACAGCTTTTGAGGTAATGATAGGGAAAGGGAAGCATGATAAATAAAGAGAAAGAGAGACTAGCCATATTGCACAGAAAACGAAGAATGGGGAAATGAGGACAGGAGACAAGTGGGAGAGATGGGGTGATGAACCATTTTGATGGTTCTACCACTTGTCTGTCACTTTGTTGCATTGTGGTGCCTCGCATGCAGGGAAGCTATGCTACCAATATTTTGAATGCTGGCAGGGTCACTCATAGTGGACAGGTTTCAGCTGAGCTTCCAGACTAAGACTGACTAGGAAGAAGTAGCAGACCACTTCTGAATGGCTAACCACATAAAACCTTATGAATAGTAGTGGAACGCTATCAGTATCAGAATACTGAATATTGAAACATGATGAAGAGCACCAGAATATTGTCAGATACAGTGCCGGAAGACGAATCCCTCAGGTTGGAAGGCACTCAAAATGTGATTAAGAGCTACCTCCTCAAAGTAGAAGTGACACAAATGGAGTAAAGCTCTCAGGACCTTTGTTTGCTGGTGGAATACAACTCAAATTAAGGAGAAATGGCTGAAAACATCCATTAACAATTAGAATATGGAATGTATGAAGTTTGAATCTAGTAAAATTGGAAATTGTCAAAAATGAAATGGAACTCATAAACATTGATATCGTAGGCATTAGTGAGCAGAAATGGATTGGTATTGGTCATTTTAAATTTCAAATTCTCATGATTTACTATACCAGGAGTGACAAATTGAAGAGGAATGGCATCACCTTCATCATCAAAAAGAACATTTCAAGATCTATTTTGAAGTATAATACTGTCTTTGATAGAATAATATCCATACACCTACATGGAAGACAAATTAATACCACTATTATTCAAATTTATGAAACAACCATTAAAGCCACTGATGATGAAACTGAAGAATTCTACCAACTTCTTCAGTCTGAAACGAATCAAACATGCCATCAAGATGTATTTGGTGCTGGTAATCAGAATGCAATGGTTGGAAACAAATAGGAAGGATGAGTAGTTGGAAAATATGGCCTTGGTGATAGAAATAATGCTGGAGACCAAAAGACCTTCTTCATTTCAGATACCTTTTTTGAACAACATAAAAGACAATTATACAAATGACTTCACCAGATGGAGCACAAATCAAATTAACTACATCTGTGGGAAAAGATGGTGGAAATCAAATTAACTACATCTGTGGGAAAAGCTGGTGGAAAAACTCCATATCGTCAGCCAAAACAAGGCAAGAGGCAGGCTGTGGAACAGACCATCAATTGCTCATCTGCAAGTTCAGGCTGAAGCTGAAGAAAATTAAAACAAGTCCACAAGAACCAAAATATGACTCTGAACATATTCTACCTGAATTTAGAGATCATCTTAAGAACAAATTTGATGCATTAGACACTAATGACCAAACACCAGAAGAGTTGTGGGATGATATCAAGAACATCATACAGGAAGAAAGCATACGGTTAAGAAGAAGGCATGAAAGAAAGAAAAGACAAAAATGTATGTCAGAAGAGTCTCTGAAACTTGTTCTCTAGCGTAGAGATGCTAAAGCAAGTGGAAGAAATGAGAAGGTTAAAGGGCAGCTCTAGAAGACAAAGTTAAATATTATTATGAAATGTGCAAAGATCTGGAATGAGAAAACCAAAAGTGAAGAGCATGCTCAGCATTGCTCAAGCTGAACACTGAGGAAAAAATTCAAGCCTCAATACTGAAGAAGTCTTTGATTTTACATTCAAAAAGGATAATATTGAATGATGCAGAAAGCATCAAAAGAAGATAGAAGGAATATACAGAGTTACTGTATCAAAAAGAAATCATTGATGTGCAACCATTTTAAGAAGTAGCATGTGATCAAGAGCCAATGGTATTGAAGGAAGAAGTCCAAGATAATTTTAAAACCTTGGTAAAGAACAAGCCTCTGGAAATTGATGGAATACAAATTCAAATCTTCCAGCAAACTGATGCAGCACTGGATGCACTCACTCAACACCAGACAGATACCTGGCCAACTGATTAGAAGAGATCCATATTTGTGCCCATTCTAAAGAAAGGTGACCAAACAGAATACAGAAATCATTGGACAATGCCATTAATATCACATGCAAGCAACATTTTGCTAAAGATAATTTAAAAATGGCTGCAACAGTACATTGACAGGAAACTGCCAAAAGTTTGAGTTCAATTCAGACAAGGATGTGGAATGAAGAATTGCTGATGTGACATGGATCTTGGCTGAAAGTAGAGAATACCAGAATATGTTTACCTGTGCTATATTAACTATGCAAAGACCTTTGATGCTGTGGATCATGACAAGTTATGCACAACATTATGAAGAATGAGTATTCCAGAACATTTAATTGTGCTCATGAGGAACCTGTATATAGACCAAGAGGATTATTCTAACAGAACAAGGGAACACAGAATGTTTAAAATGAGAAAAAGTGTATGCCATGGTTGTATTCTTTCACCAAATATATTCAATCTGTATGATGAACAAATAATCCAAGAAGCTGAATTATATGAAAAAGAATGTGGCATCAGGATTGGAGGGAGACTCATTAACAATCTGTGATATGCAAATGATACAACCTTGCTTACTGAAAGCAAAGAGTACTGAAAATATTTACTAATGAAGATAAAAGACCACAGCTCACCAATTTTTTAACATCAAGATAAATGGAGAAAAGGTTGAAGTTGTCAAAGACTTCATTTTTCTTGGATCAACCATCAACACTCATGGAAGCACCAGTCAGGAAATTAAATGACATATTGCATTTGACTGTGCTGTACAAGACTTCTTTAAAGTGTTCAAGAGCAAGTCAGTTTGAGGACTCAAGTGCATCTCACCAAAGCAATGGTATATTCAAGAGATTCATATGCATGTGAAAGTTGGACAATAAATAAGGAATATTGTAGAAAATTTGATGCACTTGAGGTATGGTGTTGGAGAAGAATATTAAAGGTAGCATGGACAGACAGAAGAACAAACATATCTGTGTTCAAAGTATCGCAACCAGAATGCTTCTTAGATGCAAAGAGCACCAGACCTCATCGCTCATATTTTAGATATATTATCAGGAGGGACCAGTCAGTCCCTGGAGAAAGACACCATAACTGGTAAAGTGAAGAGTCATCGAAAAAGAGAGAGACCCCCAATGAGATCGATTGGCACAGTGGCAGCAGCAATGGGCTCAAGTGTAGCAACAATTAGGCGGCACAGGACTGCACAATGTTTTGTTCTATTGTTCCTAGAGTAGCTATGGGTTGCAACTGACTTGATGGTACCTAAGAACAACAAATCTAGTTGGTTGCAACTCATAGCAACCATATACACAAAGAATGAAAATCTGCCTGGTCCTGTGCTGTATTCACAGTTGTTACATTGGAGCCCCTTGTTACTGCCACTGTGTGAATCCATCTTATTGTGGGTTTTCCACTTTTCTGCTGACCCTCCATTTTACCATGCATAATATCCTTCTTCAAGCACTGGTCCCACTTGATAACACGTCTAAATTATGAGACATGAAATCTCGCTATCCTGGCTTCTAAGGAGCATTTGGCTGCTTCATTTCTTCCAAGACTGATTTGTTATCTTTCTGGTAGCACATGGCACTTTTAATAATCTTCTGCAAACAATAATTCAACACATTGTCTTCCTTATCCATTCAGTGTTCAACTTTCACATGCACATGAAGCAACTGTAAATACTATGGCTTTGGTCAGGTACACCTTAGTTCTCAAACTAATATCTTTACTCTTGAACACTTTAACGAGGTCTCTTGCAGCATATTTGCCCAATTTGTCATTTAATTTCTTGCATAAGTGTTGGTTGTGGATCCAAGCAAACTGAAGTCTTTTACAATTTAAATCTTGTCTCCATTTATAATGATGACATTTATTGGTTTGCTTGGATCCAGAATCAACATTCATGCAATCAGCAGTCAAGAAATCAAACGATGCATTATATTAGGAAAATCTGTTGCAAAAATCTCTTTAAACTGTCTAAGAGCAAAGATATCAGTTAGAGAACTAAAGTGCACCTTATCAAATCCATGGTATTTTCAGTAACCCCATATGAATCTGAAAATTGAACAGTGAATATGGAAGACCTTAAAATAATTGATGCATTTGAGTTATGGTGTTGGAGAAGAATATTTAAAGTACCATAGTATGCTAGAAGAACAGTTAAATCTGTGTTGGAAGAAGTACAGCCAGAATGTTCCTTAGAAGCCTGGAGCTTCTCTCATGCTTCGTACATGTTATCAGAAGGGACCAGTCCTGGAGAAGGACATTATGCTTGGTTAAGTGGAGCAAAAAAGAGGAAGACCTCCAATGAAATGGATTGACACAGTAGCAGCAGAAATGGGTTCAAGTGTAACAATTGTGACCAGGCAGTGCTTCTTTCTGTTGTGCGTAGGGTCAGGGTGAGTCAGAGCCAACTTGATAGCACCTAACAACAACAACAACAACAACTGGTATTCCTTGTAATGGTATGGATATTATCCGATCACAGACAGCATTGTACTTCAAGATAAATCTTGAAATGTTCTTTTTGATGATGGATGAGATGCTATTCCTCTTCAATTCATCATTTCCAGCATAGTAAACCATGTGATTGTCAGATTCAAAATGGCCAATACCACTGCACTTTAGTTTAATTACCGATGAAAGTCAGAGTACAGTCTTCAGTATGTATTGCATCTCAGTGTAAAGAAAACAAAAATCCTCACAACTGGACCAATAAATAACATCATGATGAACAGAAAAAAGATTGAAGTTTTCAATTACTTTAGTTTCCTTCCACAATCAACATTAAGCAAGCAGTAGTCAAGAAATCAAATGATGTACTGCATTGGGCCAATCTGTTATAAAAGACCTCTTTAAAGTATCCAAGACAAAGATATCACTTTGAGGACTAAGGTGCACCTGATCCAAGCCCTGGTGTTTTCAGTTGCCTCATATGCATGTGACAATTGGACAGTGAATAAGGAAGACCTTAAGAGAAGTAATGCATTTGAACTGTGGTGTTGAAGAAAAATATTTAAAGTACCAAGGACTGCCAGAAAAACAAATAAACCTGTGTTGGAAGAAGTACAGCTAGAATGCTCCTTAGAAGGTAAGACGGCAACACTTCTCTCATACTTTGGAGATGTTATCAGGAGGGACCAGTCCCTAGAGAATGACATCATGCTTGGTAAAACGAAGAGTTAGCTAGGAAGAGGAAGCCCCGCCTAGACGGAGTGACACAATCCATTGGCAGTAGCAATCGGCTTAAATGTAAGAACAATTGTGAGGATGGCACAGGACTGGGGAGTTGCATTCTGTTGTGAGTGGGGGCTCTATGAATCAGAACCCACTTGACAGCACCTAACAACAATCCCAGCCACAATGCACAGGATATTGATCTTTATGCATTTCATTTCATTTTTGACAACTTCTAATTTTCCTACATTCATACTCCATACATTCCATGTTCCTATTATTAATGGATGATTACAGCTGTTTCTTGTCATTTTGAGTTGTGCCCCATCAGCAAATGAAGGTCCCAAAATCTTTGCTCCATTCAACTCTACTTTAAGGAGGTAGCTCTTTCTCAGTCATATTTTCAGTGCCTTCCAACCTGAGGGAGTCATCTTCTAGCATTACATCTGGCAATATTCTGTGCTCCTCATAATGTTTTCATCTTCTGGTAGTATATGACAATGTTACGTTGCCAATCATGAGATTTTCAGTGGCTAAATATTCAAAAATCATTTGCCTCTTCTTCCTAGCCTGTCTTAGTGTCTAACCTCCACTGAAATCTGTCCAAATACCCTGCTGGTATTTGAAACATCAGTGGAATATTTTCCAATATCACAGTCACAGTGCAAGCCATCACAGTATGACAAAATGACAGATAAGTGGTAGTCCTCCCTTAAAAAATCTTAATTGAAAAGTTGGTACCCGTGTTCCTCTTGGAGAGAGAAGTGTCTGTGGAAAATACATTGTTAATAAGTTTTGGGCATGGAAGTTGAAGCATCTTAGCATGAACTGGAAGGAGTTAGGGGAAAACAAAGGAAGCCAAGAGATCATTCATGTGAAGATGCAAGGAGTCAGGGCCTAGAAAGAAGAGGGGGAAATACTTGGAGAATAGACAGAAAAGACAGCATTAAGGAGGTTTTGGCCAGAGTAGAAAGATGGCCACTGGAAAAAGCCCAGAAGTAAGGTAGACAAACTATGTTTACGCACTGTTGCCTGCTGGAGTGGTTTGGTCCTCCCCTTGCTTGCGCCACTCTTCAAAAAGTCTTCCTGGGGTGGATGTCAGGGGCAGCTGGTCTGGTAAGCGCAGCCAGCTTCATTTGTGGGAGAGGAGGCTCTAGCCCTAGAGCTCCACCAAGTAGGGGCCATCAACATAGTTATGGAGACCCAAAGGGGCTGGGAAGACAATCTGGGGAGAGCAGCTAAACAAGGTGCATTGAAGCAGAGGTGGGATGTAATACATACAGTCCCTTCCCACTGTGGCCTTGCTCTAGAGGAAGGTCTCCTGTAAAGGGGCTAGAGTCAGGCTATTGCTTTGTTTGTGTTAGGTCCCTGTAGAATGACTCAAGGCATTAAGATTACTTGGCAGCATGATTTGCTTTGTTGGATTTAACCTTAAGTGATTAGCATTCATTTTGTTGTGTAATTGCTCTTTAGAGATTTTCCAGTGTTAAGAAAACAACAACAAGAAGAACAAAACTAACACTTTCCAGTTAAAAAACAAACATGCAAAATCAAGTATTTCCAGGGCCTTCTCAGTCAGACAATTCAGAAACCAAAACCCTTTTGGAATACACAGCCTGTACTAGAGTCCTGGTGTGGCGCAGTGGGTTAATGTGCCAGACTGCAAAACCATTTGAACTATAAGGTCGGCAGTTCAAGTTCACCAGCTGCTCCTTGGAAACCCTATACAGGGTCGCTATGGGTTGGAACTGACTCGACGGCACTTAACAACAACAACAACAGCAGTCTGCACATTGAAGTTCTGCAAGAAGTTCTTGTTAGCAATGGAGGGTTTAGTATCCTCTTCATGTGGCAGAGCCTTACCTCCCTCTTCAGCACCCGTCCCTGTGCGTTTATGTCCTGGAAAGTCTTCTGAAGCATGCGCTCCTGCTCCAGGCATAGTGCCTCCTTCAGAAGAAGCATGTTGGTGTGTTTCTGCACCTCAGCCATCGTGAGCTCAGCCATCTGCTGTTCATGCTTCCAGACATCCCTGTCCATGCCCTGGGCCAGCGGGAGGGGTTGGGGTGGTGTGCACACCTCCAGAAGGGTGAGGGTCAGCTTGACTTCCTGGTCCTGACACAGGACATACTGGTAGAGTTTGTAGTGGTGGATGAAAGTGTTGTGGAAATAGTCACAGAGGGCCAGCAGGTGGGTAGTGTTGAATTGTTCCTGGTAATCTCTGAGCTTGTTGTCCAGCATCTTCACAGCCTCAGTGATGGAGCAGCCTGGGGACACAGAGGGGCCGGGCTCAGAGTGTGAACAGAACAGAGCTGCATTAATAGATACTCAACATATGCTCTGAGCCCAGGCACTCTGACCCCAAGCCCACACTCATACCTACTATATTATTTTAAACAATACAGTTGTCATTAAATCAATTCCAATTCATGTGACCCATGTAAATCCAAGTAAAACTATGTTCCTTAGAGTTTTTTGTTTGTTTTAAGTTTTTATTGTGCATTGAATGATGGCTTACATGGGAGAACATCAGTTTTACACTCATCCTATTGTATTTCATTTCATTGCAATGATTGCAATCCATTGTATGCATCATCATTCAACAGTATTGCTTCTATTCCCTCTGTTTTTCATTTTTTGGATGTATACCAAAACACTTAGGAATATACAATCATTCAAACAACCAAACGGTACATCCTGCAAACCTGCCCCCTGACCGCCAGCACACAGCCCCACTCTCTTCATAAATCTAGAATCCTCAGCTGCTCCATCTTTCCACGTTGTCATCTCTGCCTCCATCTCTGGTGTCACTACTTCTCTGGATAGGGTCCCACACTCCACTCCTGCTCTTCTCCCTTGATGGTCCCAGGGTCCTCCATTTCTGGACTGTAAGATCAACCACTCCCTCCTTTTTGCTACAAAACTTCTACCTTTACAGTTGCGACAATTGCAATTAGTCATGGTAACAATTACTCAGTGTGCCCATCTCCTTTTACCAGACCCACATAGACAGGATGAAAATCATTCAGTTGGGATTCTACCTTCCCCTGCACACTCTGAAACTAAACTCCCTCTTGAAAACGTTTAAGCTCGTCACTTCATGCCTTTATAGCTCCCCTCCCCTCCCATTTTAGGTAGCCAGTGTCTAAGTTGCCCATCCCTATCAACCCCGTGTACAAAGGGGATGGGAATGATCCTTGCTGTGAAGATTCCTTCCCTCTTGGTAGGTATTTTAAGCTACTACATCCATAAGTATAGGTCAAGTTCATGAAATTATAATGATTTACATTTGTTTTCTTTATCAAATTAAAAAAAAAGAATCTTCCTTTAGTCGAGTTCTGATCATCCAGCCATTGAAGCTAGGTCAAATGGGTACTATCTGAAAGTTTGTACATTCTTGTGCATCTTCCCACACTTTATATCAGCTGAACACTTCATTCTCAGCTCTAACCCTCTGTGGCTATGTCCCTAGAGTTATTCTCTCTTCTGAGGTGCATCTGGGTGGACTCAAACCACCAACCTTTGGTTAGCAGTTGAGTTTGTTAGCCATTTGCACCACCCAGGGGATTTATTCATGAAAATGATGGAGTCCATCACATTTCTCTTTTTACTTTGGCTTCCAGGAAGTTCAGAGCTAATTTTATTCAGTCATTTATATGAATCCTATGTTTTTCTTACATAATTATCCCATTCTTCACTCCTGTTTTAAGGATTTACTATAGCAGTGCTTTATATTGTTTCCACTTCACACCTTCTTGAGAATGAGATAAGGGTATAAAAATAGGGGTTCCGATAAAAATGGAAGTGTTCTGGTGTGGCACTGTAGGATAAGCACCGGACTGTTAACTTCAAGGTAGGTGGTTCAAACCCACCAACTGCTTCTCAAAAACCCTATACAGGGATGCTATTAATTGGAATTGACTCAGTGACACTTAACAACAGCAACAACAAGAAGAGTTGAGTATGATGTAATTAGAAAGCTGTCCAGGTAACAACTGTAACTTGTGTCACAGAATTAGGGAAGTACCTTTTATATCAAGTGAAAATCCAGGCTCTGAGGATCATACCACCATCTTTGCTTCCATCCTTTTTCATTCCTCCTCCTTGTTCATAGCTCCTTCAAAGGCTCTGAAAGGTGGTGTGGTGGGGTGGGGGGTAAAAATCTCCCCACTTCCCAGCATTAGCCTGGGGCCTGGCCTTGGGGATGGGTCAGTAAAGGGTCATTGTGGGATTATGTGCATGTCCTGGTGATTGAACTTCAGGACAGAGACTGCAGGTCTGGGGGGCCAAAGAAGGACATGTTTCTGAAGTCAGGAACTTGCCGGTGCCATCCAATGCCATCCATGTAGTGCAGGTGTACTTGGATAAGTCTCTCCTGCACCCTGGACTCAGTGTCTACCTCTGCAGATGGGGGCTAGGGCCAGGTGACCTCTGAGTCACAGTTCTATCTACTGAAGAGGAGTCCTGGTGTGACACTCAAGGATAAACACTGGACCATAAGGTTGGTTTGAATCACAAGTTCAGGGGTTCAAACTCATCAGCCTCTCTTCAGAAATCCTATACAAGGTCACTATGAGTCAGAACTGACTCAACGGGACTTAACAACTTAGCAACTGAAGATGGAGGTCACATGTTGGATGCAGGGAGTTGGAACTAACTCGATAGAACTTAATTTAATAGTTTATTGAAAATGGAGGCCAAGTGTTGGATGTAGGGAGCCTGGCTTTCCTTTGGAGGCGGGGGTGCAACGTGTCTGCAGACCACCTCTCTATTTCCCCAGGTGGAGTCTGTCCATGAAGCACTGCAGCATCACCCCTCTTCCCTGAGCCAGGCACACTGTACCCCTTCAGGCGGGGTGGTCTAATCTTCCACACAGGATTGTTGTTTTGTTTTGTTTAAATCCTCCTCCACCTCCTTTGTAGTTTATATTCACTTCTTGGCTCTTTCCTGTAGCTGTCTTGGCTCTGCGTGGGATTATTTACCTTAAATCTCCCCAGAGCAACAAGAGGGTGGAGGCATCACTGTCTTAGAAAAATATTAGTACAAGGAGTGCCGCTCCACTAGAGCCTTGTTGGGATGTGCTAGGGGTTGGCTCTGACCCAAGAAGCTTGGCCAGAAGTGCCACTTCACTTCAGGCAGGCATCAGTTGCCTTGGAGAGGTAGGAATGGAGGACTCTTTGCTTGCAGAATTAAAGACTGATGGGATGTATTCTCTCCTGTCCTTCAGGGCAAGCCAACAGGTTCCTGGGCCCAGAGCAGAGCTCCTGCCTCCAAGTGGTGTAGGAGAGAAGGTAATGGGTTGCAGGCTTGGGACAGCTCTGTCCCTTCCTAGCTATGACACCTTGATAAAATGGAGGAAAATTATGCTTATTTCATGAGACTGTTGAGAGGATCAAATGAGAGAACACAGAATCTACTACACAGAGTCCAATACAATGTGATCATCAATAAATACTGCAGAAAAGAATAGTTTGTTTCTGCCCTTGTGAGAGTTGGTCTCTCCTGGTCACATTCTTTCTCCTACCCGCACAACCCCAGGTTCTTTCTGGGGACACTTCAGGGAGGATGGTGTCACCAAGAGAGAGGGAGGATGCAGGAGGGGAAGGGTTTGAGTTGAAATTGTGGGACATTCATTTTTAACAAGATTCCTGTCCTCAGAAAAATTTCAGTCTGGACAAAGAGACACTGGAACAGATGATGGTCATCTATGTATTCTCAGCACCCAACACAGTACTTTGTGTACAGTGGGGCTCAGTAAAAGATCTAGTGAACAATTGAACCAATTCTTATCTATTAAGTGCAGAGATAGACTTATTTAACATTTTTTAAAAAATAAGTATTTCTTAAGGCCCTTTTATGTGCCAAGAGCTCTTCTAGGTTCCAACGATCCAATAGAGGGCTAGGAAGAACATACACATGTCTTTTAAGTTCACCAAGTGTTATATGGAGTCCTGATGTGGCACTGTAGGATACACACTGGAGTGCTAACCACAAGATCAGCAGCTGGAACACACTAGCCACTCCTTGGAAATCCTATACAGGAAAGGCTATGCATCAAAACCAATTGATGGCACTTACTAACAACACCAAGCACTATATTGGGTTGGGAGAACATATAATAGGAAGGAATGACCTTCTCAGGAAGGGAATTCCTGAGGAAGAAGTGAAGGCACTGAGACAGGCAGTGTTAGAGAAGTTTACTGGGTAAAGAGAGGAGAAGAGTGAAGCAAGCAGGGGAGTAGCATGTGCAAAGGCTGTGTGGCTAGAGAAAGTATGACTCATCTGAGGAATAGAAAGACTGGGGTGGTTAGAGAGCAGCAGGTGAGGGTCCACCTGATTGGAGAGGAGGATGAGAAGGTTGGAAGGACCCTGACCATTCAGGGCCTTGTCAGCTCCCACAGAAGGATTTTAATTTTTAGTCTAAGAGTATCCATGTTAAAAGAATGACCCTTCTATTATCTGAGTCACATCATGTTATCCCTCTGCACAAAATCATCCTAAAGCTGCCCACACATAACACACAATGAAAGCCAGAGTTCTACAGGGTCTACCGCTTAGGCTGTGTCAGGCTTTTCCCTGCTCCCTCTTCTCCAAGCATACTGGCCCTCTCACTGTTTTCTTCAACATACATGGTGTGTTCCTGTGCTAGGCGCCACTGCCTAGAAGGCCCTTCCCTACAAATTCACAGACTCAATACTCACCCTTACAAATGAAACTGACCCAGAGACACCCTCCCTGGTTACCTTATTTAAAGTTTCAATGCCTTCATACCATTTTTTTTCCAGAGCACATAACACTATCTTACATGGTCTATATTTCACTTATGTGTTTGGTTTATTGTCTCCATCTCTGTCTAGTAGAATAAAAGAACTATACATGAGTGGAATTTTATCTTTTTTGTTTACTGCTATATGGAATCTTAGAACAGTACAGACACACGGTGCATTCCATGGATATGTGTTGACACTTGAAGGACTATGGGGCCATCAAAAGAGAGACTTATTGAATATGAACAAATGGGCAGCCATTGAAGTGTTATCAGGGAGTAGGTATAGGAGGGTAGATTTGTTACAGAAACATTTGTTCAGTGAAAACTCTCATGAGCAAGGGGGTTAAAAACTCTGCTTCTAGAAGGTAATGGGATGACATAGACAAAACCCTGAATGAAAAAAAAAAAATGCCACCAAGAATAATATACCCAGCAAAGCTGTCCCTCAAAAGGACATTTTCAGATAAACAGAAATTAAAGGAATTTGTAATTTTACAA